CGATTTTTTTAACAAAGGATTCTTAGTTCATCAATAGAAATATATATGCCAGTATACTCTATTTGGGAAAAACAATTCACCCTAAATACATTTTTAAAACACTTTTCAAAAGTATTTTTATTTTAAGTATAATTAAAATAATTATACTGGATAATCCTCTATAAAGTACGATTTCAAATTTCTGGGGCTGATCATTCACAAACTTTTCCCTTCTGATTAATGTTAACTTGATTTTTATATTTATCCATTAGGGTCACTTCTGAGAATGATTAATGAATTTTTGTGAATTAAAAATAAATTGCCCTAGAATTACAACACACTTAACATTTATCATTAACTACTTTACCATGACTGCTTAACCTCGGATGATTTTTTCAGTGGACTAACTGCTGAGAGCAGATACCTGCAGAGTGACTCATCTATAGGTAAAGGGAGGAGACAGAGAGGTCAAGTGAGTCACTGTTTAAGGTAGCCAGCTTAGGAATAATACAGCAATATAATGTGTATATCCCATAAGTGCATGTATACTAATTCATTTTATATCATTTCACAAATTCCTCCTTAATTGTTGCTGAGTGATGTTTATATTGATTAAAAAGTATTCACATATCAAAGTGTAAAACTTTATATTGGTCAGATAAAAATTTCTCATTCTAAGAAAATAAATAAAATGTCATTGTTGGGTCTATATTCCTTAATATTTTCACTACTGAATTAGAGAACAAAAACTCACAGTGATTTACAAGACTGGACAGGATTACTGAACAGGTAAGGTTGATATTGATGATGATGACATACGGTGTTTCTGTTCATCTGTCAACTGTCCATAGAGGACGAGGGTGATATTCTTCATAGCAGCAGAGAGGCAAAACAAGGGGAGACTTACTGTTCCACAACAATGGGTAAAGCAATTGCTGGTAAAGACCCTATTTGGTAAGGATCCTACAGTGTGCTCTACAGGTCAATTTCTTGAACTTGTCAGCGTTCCCTGCCCCCTGCAAAAAAAGAAGGGTGAGGGAGGGACAGAGCTCTGGTGAGGACCTCCTACCTCGTGTCCTGTTGGAGTAAAGATATAATCTCATTCAGAGTCTCAGAGAAAGGTCCTGAGAGAAAGCGATTCTTTTGTATTCTCTCTGCCCCTGCAGTCAAGCCAATCATTGAAGACACTAAAGTAGTCTGGACAGTATAGAGAAGAACACAGGAAAATGAACATGCAACATTGTTTGGAGCAGTGGTCTTTATACCCCACAAAAGAATTTTGTAAAATTGTATTCCGCCTTGCTTAGTATTAAGTTGATATTAAAATATGTAGCCACTAAAATCTCAAATCCATAACTTGAAATCCATCATACATTATCAATTTCAGAATACAGACAACTTTAAGAGTGAGAATTGTACATCATTTCTTTTCTCCTTCAACCCACATTTTAATTATTTTCTCCCCCAATGTAATTGCATCCTAATGTATTTTACATTTTGAATTCTTGTGTTAATCTTACCATACTTATCGGCAAAAATAAGTATTTGTTTTTTAATTCTAGACCTCATTTCCCATGAAGGTAAAGACATCTTAATAAAATGTGTATGACATCCATTGATCAAAATAAACAATAAATTATAACATATGGTATATAATTATTAAATATTGAAAAAACTGGTTGTTTGAAACACACTACTAGCATCATGTACCAGGCAATGTTGTAAGCAATTTACGTACATTGACTCACAATAGCTCCATGAAGCATTACATTCCAATTACTATTCCATTTTGCAGAAAAGAAAATGGAAGCCCTGAGAGGCTAAGTAACTTTTTCAAGATTACAAATAAATACTAGTAAAGCTCAACTTCAAAGCGAGGCATTGTTTCCAGAATCAAGGCATGGATCAATAATAACCACTTGATGTAACTATGGATTTAAATACTAATAAAATGATAATACATTTAATAGCAAATTTACTCTTATTTTGAATTTTCACAAACTTGTGTTTATAAGAAACTTTGCTCACATAAGTGAGCGAAAATGGAAAAAATATATAACTGCAACTGTCAATATGTACCATAAATTACATTTTGACCCATCATTATTGATTTATCAGCTAACAACTCAAGTAGATCCTTACATTTTATTGAAGGCAGAGAACTGACAACTTGACTTGGAAATAGACTGAGTATCCAGTCATTAGTCATTCACTTTATCACCTCACTTCCAATAGATCAAATTATCCCTTTGGCATCTCAGCATTTAACATGCCTGCGTTAAGTATCAGTACTATTCAGGATGGATGACTGGTGTATCTTTGTTCAATAATGTGAATGGGGGATGCTGCAAACAGGTAGTGGGAAAGGAAAATCTATCAGAGATTTTTTTTCTCTGATCATTTTAAGGAATTATTGGAAAATCTATTCCTGTAAATGCTATTAATTTTTTCATACCTCTCAAAGTCTTCATACATTTCAATTTGAAAGTCACTAGGCTAGTATATGAAATACTTGAGTCTTCTTAGAGGGAAATTTGAAATACTATTTCAAATGCAAATGCACAAAACCTTTGAAATTTTTGTAAGTACTTATAGAAGTGTAAATGGACACATTACAAGGATGTTTTATTGCAGTTTTCTTTATAGTAGCAAAAGTGAGAAAAACCTAAGTTATAGTCAATAAAGGGCTGAGAGAGTACCGAGTACAATCTGCACCTGTGAAAAACAATTAAGCAAGTATGTATATATTGACAGCCAGAGTGCAAGTTATCCCACTAGGAGAAAAATAAAGCTAGTTGCAGGAAAAAATATATAATTTTTATAAAAACAAAAAAGAATATGTGGGGTACACGTACATATATTGCATATATATGATTTATGTATGATTTCTTTATGTGTACTTAGACAATAATCTGAAGTCAAATATAGTGATTATCTCTGAGGAACAGTGGAAAGTAAGAAAAGAATAATGCTCTTTCATTATAAATATTCTGTATTGAAATTTTCATAATAGTTCACTGTTTATAATATAAAAGTCAATAAAAGGACAAAAAAGTCTCTAGTATTTCTGTCAAGTGTTTATTTTTTTATTTTTTTTTAAAGATTTATTTATTTGTGCATACAAAACTGGGGTACAGGCCAGAGGCTCAGGGGCGGTGAGAGGCTTCACCAGAGACAGAGTGGGGTACAGAACAGGCAGACAGACGAAGTACACTGCTGAGGGGAGCAGCGGGCGGGTCAGGAGAGGTCCGCCACACCATGTGGTCACCTCCGGGGCAGGCGGGAATCGAACTCATGCGGAAGCGGCCTTAGATTCTCAATGCTGTGCTTTAAGCCGCTGCGCCACCAGGGAGGGCCCAAGTGTTTATTTTTTATATAAAATGTTACTTTATGTAAAATTTTATTTCTTATGTAAAATATTTATGTGACTGAGTAAAGATATAGCTCTATATACCAGAGACATTTTGTGGGGGTGGAGTGGGGAATGGGATCAAAACAGTGGGGGGAGAGAAATGCACTGGACTATGGTGATGGCACATAGGTGATTTGGTGATGGGAAGCCCAATGGGATTGCAACTGAGATGGAAAAAGTGACAAAAATATGTAAAAATAAACTAATATAATAAAAAAAATACTATGAAAGAAAAAGAAAAAAAAGATATATAGCTCTATCTTCTTCCGTTCTTTCCTTCAATAACTGTTTATCCTGTAAGTACTCTAAAATAGTAAACTTGTAAATTCACTAGATAAACTTAAAAGTTCTTCCTTTGCTTTCAGGAACCCAGCACATTCCAAATTGGTGATGTTTGTTCAGACAGAAATGAAAGGAAAATTGTCCCCATCCATAGTTGAAGCAACGTTGCCTTCCAACTTAATAAGCTTCATTCTCAGTGCAAAAGACGGAATACAGGTTCATAGAACTGCAGGACGTGGATATCATCATAATGGTCATTCATCATTCCTAAAGAAGAAATGAGCTGCTCTGCTTTAGACTCACATTTGGCATTTAGTTTACCTCTAAATTGATACGCATCAATATTGTTGACCTCTTCAAGACTATTCTTATACAACATACTGAAGGTACTTTGTGAAAATAAGAACTCATAGTTGTATAAGAAAACAACATTAAATATAGTTTTAATCTGCTTTGAGTGGATGTTAACTCACAAGTGTTCTCATGCCCTTTTATCTTTTCTTTCCCACCCCACCCCCAAAAATTGCTCTGCAAAAGAATCAGTAAGAAAGTGCATACAGCCAGAGGTCAGTATTAAAGATGAAAATTATTTTAAGTTATTTTTCTGCATTTACTGTTTAAATTGATAATTGTAGGAAACATGAACATAAAATCAAAAAGAAGGCCATTAGTATATATGACTAGTGATATCTAGAATTTAAAATTGAATGACATGAATTAATTTCAGGTTCTGGCCAAAAGGTAGCAGTTCATTCTTGCTAAGTCCTTCCTCTTACAACTAAACGATGCTGCACAGAATACAGTAAACACACATAGGTGGAAAGAAAAGAAGGCAAACCGCCTGGGGACCTTGGGACTTAAGGAGAGACACAGCACTGATTGTCTGGGCCTCATTGTGTCCCATAGATTTCAGACAGCTGCTGCAGAAGCCCCCGACCTGGGACCACCAACGGGGGGGGCAGGGGGGCAGGCTTCCAGGGAAAGTCTGCCATAGCCGTGGCTATGAACTGAAAGGTGGCCTAACAAACAAAAATATTTTTGACGATACCAGTCCTAGCCTAGTCAAACATCAACCTAAAACTGCTCCCACCCTCGCTGTGGTTTCAGCGGGTCAAAGCAGAGAAGTGATTTCCTATCCACCTCATCTCTGTCCACAGAAGCTGGTGGAAGAACTCTTGTTTTTGAGCAGGCAGATATCTTCCAACTTCTACATGACAGAATCAAACAACATTGTGATTACTCATCTGGCGATGACGGTCATAGTGTACACTGTAAGGCAGGGAGCCGATTTTCTATTTTCCACTGGCAGCAGGTAGCAGTATTTTAATGTCCCTCATGGAAAGTCAGTGGGGTCCAGTAGCAAAAGGAGCTTCCAGTACTCCCTGGTAGCAGCAGAATTTACCAGCTAGTGCAAAGTAGGGCCAGCTTCTCTGCCATCCCAACACCTGGTACCAACAAGGCTCAAGAGGAAGCTGAGCCTCCATCCTCACTCAGCACCAGTGGCTCCCCTCTGGAGTATATGGAGTGGTGGCTGTCAAAATTGTGTCCATGTCAGATCCCTGGAGTCCTGCCCACCATTTGAACAAAGGATCTTTGCAGACACAGCAAAGGACTTCAAGGCAAGAGCATCCAGATTATCTGAATGGCCCTAGATCCAATCACAAGTGTCTTATACTGAGAGATACACAGAGAGACTCCACATGGCGGAGCGGAGGCCACATGAAGATAGAGAAGAGAGTGGCGGTTTGCAGCTACAGGCAATGGAACACCAAGAGCACCATAAGCTGGAAGAGCTAGGGAAAGATTCTCCCCTAAAGTCTTCAGTAGATGTCCCAGCTGACACTTTGACTTCAGACGTTTGGTTTCTAGAATTGGAAGAGAATAAATCTGTTTTTTTCAGCCCCCACATTTCCTACAGATGCTGGTGTGAGCAGGACTCAGTGTGGAGCTGGGCCTTCACACCCACCTGGCATCAACAGGGTGAAACAAGGTGGTTGGACTTGCAGCTAATTAGTCAGCACTCCACTTCCTCAACCCTCCCCTGGTGTCATAGGGGCTAAGTGAGTAGCTGACTTCAGCTGAGTGCACTCAACGGCACAAGGCCATGCAAATTAATCCCCACCAGGAGGGTAACTTAACTGCCACTTCGCCATCTGCAGAGTGTCAGCTAGTGCTCTACTTTTTGCACAGGTGCTGATGGCAGGACCCAGTGGGAAGATGAACATACACATCACGCAGCTTTCAGCTGTACCTTCACTAATGGACTTAGATGCTGAAACAGAAGTTTAAATAGGATCTGGAGTTTGACATGTGGTCACATCTTACTTTAAGACTCTGCTAAGTGGGATGATGGGAGATAAAGATAGTAACTTATTTTCCAACTTAGTAACTGTCACTCACCTTGTAACCTCTTTCCAAAGCTTCTTGTAGTACTTAAGTATAGCCAGCAGGCTGCGCTTTCTACACTTTGCCTGGAGATATCCTTGCACAAGGTCAGACGTTCAGTAGGTCTTTGTTTTCCAAGGTACCAGTTAGCTGTTTTATAAAATTTTTCAAAAAAGCTTCTTAACAAAACATTTTCTTCACCATTATTCCAGCCTCTTAACAAAACATTTTCCTCACCATTATTCCAGCCTCTGGAAAAGAGTTTTTTCTCAAACACCTGTGGCCCATGCAAAAGCCACAGGAAACACACACACATAGATCTTGTAGTTTTTGTTTTTAACTTAACATTTTTTAATGAAGTGCCACTGATTTACAACCTTGGTACATTTTTCACAGTATAACTGGATTTCTGCCCGCGGGTGTGGTCACTGAAGGTCCCACTACCAAAATACCCTTAGTCCTCTACCACGGTTCACTGTGTTTTTCTCCCTCACCTGCCCCTTTTTCTCTCCCTCCCCCAAATACTTTTATAGTGCAGCTCCCCACTTCCAGTTACAAATTCTTGTAGCGGTTATCTATTACCACCAAATAAGCACATATTTTTGTGACTCAAAAAGAATCTATATGTTCTTCAAGTATTGAACATTTGCACTTTCATTATTCATATTGTCAATCTCTTTCCCTAACAGTAATTTGAAAGCTATTAGTAATGGTTTTCTATCTAAAAATAACAGCTTCTACAATCAATTCGTGTAACTTACTTTGCAAATAATAATTTTAAGATTATTCTTTCACTGACGGAGCTAGAAGGGAAAGCTCCTAAGATCTTATGTTGTCACATCTAGAATCCTTATTTATATTTGAGAATACTCAGCTGTTGGTAGGTCAATGATTTGCCCAAGTTTTCTAAAAATGCTCACACAGATATACATACACAGTATCAACAGCTGGCTTTATTAAAAATTAATATTCTAGAATGTAACATTTTAGAGAAAGAAATGTGGTAAAATAAAGTCCAACCAAAGCTACCAGAGCTTCTTATCAGATTCTTAGTACACTCTGTTTATCAAAAGAATAAAGGCAACTTCAAGACAGGTTATGCAGTTCAATAAAATCTTTGAAAGTTCTACCATTAGTAACAGATGGAAATATGAGGAGTGCCAGAAATGTAGCATTCTTTTCCCTTTTTTTTTTAAATTGACTATAGAGAAAAGCAAAAATATATATTGTGGTTAACAATGTATGTAGGAGTAAAATGTACAGTAACAATAGCACAGAGGTCAGAGAAATGGAAATGACTGTACCCTTGTAAGGCCCTTAAATATATATACATGGCTTGAAGGTGGCCTTGATAAGTTAGACACATACAATAAATGCCTAGAGAGCCACTAAAATAGCAAAACAGACTTATACAGTTATGCACTGTTTAATGACATTTCAGTCAAAAATGGATCACACATATGTTGGTGATCTCTATATACCAACATGTGTAGTAAACCTGTGTAAGTACACTCTATAATGTTCACACAATGATGAAAGCACCTCAAGTAGATTTCTCAGACTGTCTCTGACATTAAGTAATAAGCCAATAAAGTAGAAAAATACATAGATGAGTTTTAAAAACCTAAGTCACCAAAATGCATAAAAACAGAGGGGAAAAAGAGGACAGAGAATATATGGGATAAAGCAGAAAATAGGAAATACGTAGATTCAATCCTAAGCACATAGTCTAAAAATTTCAATGAAAAAGCAGTTATCAGATTACATGAAAAAGACCCAGTAGCCCAGGGGTTAAGTCTCAGCACTAACACCATTACAGCCTCAGTTTGATCCCCTACCGGGCACAGAAGACCTCTCCAGTCTCACCTGCTGCTCCCCTCCACAGTGTATTTCAGTATATCTGCCTGTTCTGCTCCCCACTCTGTCTCTGGTGAATCCTCTTACCCTCTCCCCCTCAGTTATTCTATGCAAAAAAAAAAAAAAAAAAAGCAAGACCCAACTATTGCATATTAAAACTTTATAATGTAAAAACACATCATTTAAAAGGACTGGGAAAGAGATTAGTTAACATTAATTAAAAAAAAAAACCTTCAGAAGTGACCATTAGGAAAACTGATTTTCATAGCAAAGAATTTATCAGGGATAAAACAATTATATTCAAACATAAAAGGGGTCAATTCATCAGAAACTCAGTCCTAACACTAATGCCTCTTCAAAATACTTGAATCAAAATTGATAAAAACTACAATAAGAATAAATCTATAACAATTTAACAAATCTTCCCTGCATAATGAAGCCCCAAGAAAAATTCTGAAATTTTGATTACCTGGGATATTTTATTTCTTGTCCTGGATAGTTATACAGTTGTTGCTTATAATTATCCATTATTATGTCTGTTTCTTTATGCATTTTTCTGTATTACAGATTTCACAAAAGAAAAAATTTTATTAAATTCAACTTTGATGAAAGTGTAAATCTACAGGTTCATAAAACACCTAAATCCCAAGCATGATAAATCTGCACCTAGTTATATAAATTGCAGCTCTCCAACAATAACAGTATCTTAAAATAGCCTAAGAAAACTCAATTTTTAAATCTACAGTTTAAAGACATAATTTCAGAAACTAAAAACAACTCTACTTAGAAGGAATGTCTGAGAAGCATAAAAGTGAGTTAAAAAGGGGGGAAAGGAAGGAGCAAACTTAAGTCACTGGCAATATAAAACAATAATATTCAACTTGGAGGTTAAGAATTTGATTAGAATTAATATATTTAAACATGCTGTATTTTTGGAAAGAGTGTACAGATATTTACTTTGTAAAAGGGTGGTCCCAGGAAAAGGGAAGTTCCAGGTTCCCTGCCCGACCCAAGACCCAAGACGGGGGTGGAGCTAAACAGGGCGGCAGGAGACTAGGGAAGAAAGGAAGGATGGAGGACCAGGAGACCTGGCGGAGGCAACCAGAGAAGACAGACATACCATGCTTACTTGCTTTGATCCTGGACTGGTTGCAACAGATGTGGGTGAGGCCCATGGGGAGGTGACTATGGCAGCGTTTATCTTGATTTTGATTTTGCTCTTTTCCTCCCACAATTGTCTGTCCCTTTTCTATGGATCCCAGCCAGAAGGTGCTTTAGATTTGGCCTTGCTTTGGGCCAACCCTGTTTGGCTAGACATTTACCCACCAGGGGGTAGGAAATAAGAGTGCTTGACTTGGAAATTATGTTGTCTTTTTAGTATTGCACACTAATTGCATTAAAGTTCTTTTCCACTAAAGGTCTTACATGTTTTGTCTTGATGCAGTGGATGCAGAAACTAGGGCAGGTGAGAGGTTCTGGAGTGCTCTTCTCCCTGCCCAGTAACATTTTTAGATGTTAAGCATATAAACTTTTTAAGAGTAATTAGAAGTATTTATAGTAGAATGTTTAGATTACAGATCAGTACAAAAAAAATTAGAAAATTCAACCAATTCAAAAAGAGGACAGTAAAGGGGTATGGGTAAAAATGGAATAGAAAGAGATAAATAAAAGTACAAAATAGGTGCAAATAAATTTGTACCTTTGTACTGTTGTGGAACATGTATGTTAAGAGTTCTCCAGACATAAAACACTAGATCCTGGAGAAAACGTTCTGTAATTGGGTTGTACTATGAGGGAACTATCCAAACTCCATGCCTCCACACTTACAAAGGGGAAGAAAAAAAAAAAAAAGCCAAAACAAAAGCAGGAAAGGAACAAGAAGCATCAAGCAAGAAACAAGCTTGAAAGGTGGCAGCCCAGGGAAAACTGCTGTCTGCCGATGGTCCACAGTTAACCTCTGGAAACAACCTCAGGACAGAGAAGCAAGGTGACAGAGTTGAAACTAAGGCAAATGTGTTTAGTAAGGGCCCCTGAGGGGCTATAATGGTTGTCAGTAGGTGGTTACTGACCTCTGGAAGAAAATACAAATCACATGGCACGTATGTTAAAACTGCTTACTTAGAAGAAAGTATGTTAAAGTTACTCTTAATTCACTCTTGTATATTTTTACAAGTCTTTCCTCTAGATTATATTGGCAAAAATTATGAACTTAAGAACAAGACTCCTTCTTTAGTGTATTCTAGAAATATCCTAATGTCTTACAAATTATAAGAAATTCATGATTTTATTGGCAGGCAAAAGTGAAGGCACAATGGGAGAACAAGGAAATATGCTAATTTAATAACTTTGTGTATTTGTTGTGTGTTTGACACCCCTTATCTCCAAAATGGAGAGAAGATAGTAAATAGCTAGTCCATTGCTTAATTCCAGACTAAGATGAAAAGGACTTATCCAGCTTCATATACACTCTTTACCTTGCATTTTTGATAGCCATCCTTCCCTTAATCCACCTGCATGCAAGGAACTCTTACCCAGCCCCTGCCACAGCATTCACTCATTCATTATTTATTGAATGCCCTCTGAGCCTAGCATGTAGTAGGTTCTAGGTGCAATAAGAAGCATTCATTAAATAAATGCTGCTTTGGTTTTTAAATAGTCTACTTACTAAATGAAATGTAGTATCGGGTTGTCACGTAAGTCAAAGATATGTACATGTTTAATAAATTAATTGGCAGAATTTCTTATCTGGCTGTTTCCTAGAAGGATGAATTTCTCGAATAATTCCTTATTCACAGAAAAAAAAATCATTCTTTGCTACAGCATAGCAGAGACTTGACTATTAAAGTAGGTATCACTCCCACTCCCCCCATACATAAAACTTATAGGAAAATGTACTAATGCTGACCATGATAATTCTTTTTATTGAAAAGCATTATAAAATAGTTATAGAAATAAGTGAATAATATTTTACATTATTTTTTTGTAATGTGTATTTTTATGCTTCCTGTCAGAATTTACTTCCTGTAACTATTCTTGCTTTATCTGTAACATTTTATGTTGTATTTCTACATTATTGAATAACAGTGTTTAAAAGAGCTTAATAAACTGTTAATCTGAGAACAATAGTCATCTTTCCCTTGCTTTTTATAGACCTTTTTCCCGAACATGCTTATTTATGTACAATGTGGAAATCTGATCCTGTTCTCTTCCAGTCTGCCAACAGTTCTTTTTGTACCTCTTCTGGGAGTTCATAAAAAATTCCAGGATCAACATCAGAAGGAAAAGTAATTTTTTCATCAGTAGAATCTTGTTCTCTACTTTTTGTAAGTCCTTCACAATGAGGTACTTTTCCTACTGGTTGCTTATGGTTATCTGCATTGTGGTTTTTGGAGAAAAGTTGTTCACTCTGCGAATTTGGAAAAGAAGGGAAAATAGAGACTGGAGGGCTTGTATTTAAAAAGTGGAATCCTTGAGATTCTTTAGGTCCTTGACTCATTCCTTCATCTTTTAATCTACTGTCTAAGTAATGCGAATAATCCTTTTGGTTTGGTAGGTAAGAACTATTGCTATTTAAACCTGATGTCCCTGGTTCACAGGGAGATACAGAGGTCATCTGTTTGCTACTCGATAAATGATCTCTAGGATTTACCAGACTATCTTGCTTTTGATTTGTAGAAAAGAAAGATAGTACTCCTCTAGAGGCATGTAATGGGCAATTTAAACTTCCTTTCCCTTGAACTTGTTCTCTAGATTTTCCAGAAAGAATTTCTTCTTGAATATCTATTGGAAGTTGCTTAAAGACTTCTTGGTCAATATCCTCAGGAAGTGGGCAGATTGGGATTTCATTAAGATCTCTTTCTTTAGAAAAATTTGTACTATCAAGTGGAGATTCTCCTGTACTTATGTTTTCAATTCTTCTAGTTGGTGGAAAATCCCAATTTGTTTCTTTGTCTTTGGAAAAATCTTCTATGTGAGTGTCTTTCATTTTCTGGAACACAAAAATAAGAATAACTTAGATATCTAATGACCATTTAAAGATTTGTGCTGCTGAAGTAGAACTGTAGCTATTATTTGACCAACATATTTTTATTCTACTCAGTAACTTCAATACTTCTGGTCAGTTCCAAATAATCAAAGATCCATTGTAATTAGTCTCACTGTTGTATGGATCTCTACTCCCTGCTTCAAGAAAAGGCTTTCTTAGATAGCTCTGAGCCAGAAGGTAGCTATGAATTGGAAGACTTTAAAAGGATCTTAAGATTCATGTATTCAAATAAACAATTCTGTGAATAAAAGAATAGTGGCCTCTTTAAAAGTCAGTGGTTTACCCAAGGTTTTCTAAAAATACAGACACATACAGAGTATCTATAGGTGGTTTACTAAAAATTACTATTCTAAAACAAAACATTTAACCGAAAAAAGAGAACACTTTCATGTAAAAGTCCAACATAGCTTTAAGAGGTAACATTCATCTTAAAATAAAGGTATTAAATCTTTGATTCTAATTTGCATGTTTTGTCTTATTAGTTTTTCACTATTTAAATTTCCCCCTAACTATAGACATAGTCAAATATAACTCAGGAAACAATAACACAACAGTAACTTGAAAAAAGAAAGGTATTAGGGCCATTGTATGCTGAGCTCCCATCATGTGACAAACAAGTACAAAGAACTTTTACTTAAGATATTTCATTCTCATTCTACACATCAATTAAAACATAAACACCTTTTAATTTCAGTTAATAAAATGAGTCAGAGAAAAAGATAATTAGAAGATACTAAATTGTTAGTCCCATGCCATTCTTCTCCTTCTAAACATAAATGTAAATCAAACATAACTGAAAGCATACAAATTTAGTAAATAGAAGTTTGCCAAATGGTCAGATATAGGGGCTTAGTTTTTGCCATTTAAAAATGTAACTGACTTATTTCTCTACATATCACACTTTTCATTTCTATAAATAAAAGTAGTCATATTAATATAAAAGTTTTAAATATTGCTAAAATAAAGAAGATTTCAATATATTAACAAAGACACTGGTGGGGAAAGTGCTAGTAACTTATGTTTAAATTAACAGATTCTGGACCCCTCAATCTGGTGGCGCCAGCGGTTAAAGCGCAGTACTATGAAGCTGTCTACAGCCACTGCAGCCAGAGTTCAATCCCTGGCCAGGGAGCTGATCCACATGGCGTAGCAGACCTCCCTTGTCTCACCCACTCTTCCCCTCAGCAGTATAGTTCACTAGATTCACCTGTTCTCCTCCCAATTCTGTCTCTGGTGAATCTTCTTACCCACCGCCTGCCCCTGCACCTCTGGCCTGTACCTCAGTTCTTGTATGCATAAATAATAAATCTTTAAAAAAAATTATCAGACCCAAATATTTTATCTCAAACATCTGGAAATATTTTCATATTTCTGAGTTAATTATCATATTCCTCTATACTGGCATATACAAAATGTCTCAATATTGCCAAATTAGGGAACCTGTTTCCATCTTAGATCACAGTACAGTGTACTTAAGGAAAGCAGCTAATATAACAGGTATAATCTACTGGTATGTCAAACAGTAGCACCCAACACAAACTTAGATTTGTCATTTAACCACCCAAATCCAGTTAATATACTTACAAAACTGCGCTTGCCAGAGTGTGAGGTTGTTGACATCGATGGTGTCAAATAGTAATCAATAGTCCCTTTCTTAGCAATATTTATTGTCTTTAGATTGCAGAAGCACACACTTAAAAGGGTAAGATGAAATGGCATCTTCACATTCACCATATTTCGGAAAAGTTTCATAAGTATATCAACTAGTGGGGTCATCACATCATAGTTTCCTAAACAAAATGTTTAAGAAGCTAACATAAAAACCACTATATCATAATTAATATGATATCATCATTAATACTAAGAGCATACTCTAATTGACATTAGTTAGCTTAAGAAATTAAGATCCTATTGTACAAAAATTATCAATGATGTAAAAGATACACACACACACATATAATAAGTATTAAAAGAAATTAAGAAGCTAAGTAGATATTGGGAGATCTTGACATTATATACTAAACTGGGACATAGCAATATCGACATTAAATGCCAAGAGTTAAAGCTGCAAAAGATTTTGAGGTATGGGATTTCTGGTTATGACAGAGTAAAGAGATGAGAGCATCTCATAAAACTGAATGATTATCAAAAACAACCATTTTGAGAATCTAGAAATGAGTCAAAGAAAGTAAAAAGCACTGATTTAAGAAAAGCTGCTAGAACTTAAGTAGGAAAGTGGGAAACAGCAACCGTATTGGCTGGAATTGCTGGCATTTCCATTTACGCAGCTCTGTTGGTAGAGTAGTTCTAAATGCTCTGGGCCGGCTGGGAAAGGCGGCAGACTTTCTGCTAGAGAGGATGATTTGATTTGAGGCAGAGGGCAAAGCATACACTCAGCAGGGAACAAACTTGGTAGTAAACAAACAAGGAATCCCACCACTCTCAGAGTGCGGATGCAGTGGTGACAGGTGAGTGAAAGCTCAATGGACCAACCAAAAAACTAAAACAAAGATCTGGAAAACAAAGAGCCTAAAGGGACTAAATAAATGCTCTTCCTAACCCCCAGTGGGAAGCTGCGTGTCCAGACCTTCCTGATTAAAATGGAGCAATATACCCGGGGTAGTTGCAAGAATGTCTAACAGGAAACAAAAGCAAAGGAAGACTATGGACATGGCCTCAATTTTGAAAGTGTTCAACTCATCAACAAATCCACTCCTAGCTGGTGGACGCTCCCCAGTCTAGTATTTAAGCAAAACACTTACCCAATCATTGGCTAACCACTCAACTATACAGGCACACAGAAACCTCCTAGGAAATTAAAATGAAACTTCAAATTAAAAAGTCCACTAAAGACATTAGAGACAACATATCACATGTAGGGGGAGAGGGGAGGAAGAAGAGACAGATCAACTTAAGATCAGAAAAGTTAGCAAAAAAAGGGAAAAGATAAAAAGGCACAAAGGGAAGAAAAAATTACTACAATACATTCCAAAACGTCCAGCTTTCAGGAAAATATTATAAGACATTAAAAAACAACAACAGGAGAATGTGATCCATATGGTCCAGAAGGGCCAGGAAGCAGTCAATAGAAATTGACTGTGAATTGGATTTACAAAGACTTCAATGAATGCTATTAAAGACACAGTCAAAGAATTACAGAAAACCACTTTAAAGAACTAAAACTATGACAATGACTATTAAAAAGGGGGGCAATCTCAAAAAAATAGAATCAAAACACACAAAAAGGAAAATTTTAGAATTAAAAAAAACAGTATCGAAATATATAAAATCGCATACTGAACAACAGCAGTTTTGAGATGACAGATGAGTCAAAGAACTTGAAGGCAGTTCAAAAGAAATTATCCATCTGGAAAAAAGACTGAAGAACATTGAGTGGAAATGCGTACAACTGAAGGACACTGTCAAATATACTAGCATGTTCAATCAGACTCCCAGAAGGGGCAAAAAAAAAAGGCAAAGAGCATTTAAGGAAGCAAGTGTTAACGATGGGGGCTCCCCAGAAAAAGGGGAGATTCCAGGATCCCTGCCCCACCCAAGAGAGGGTGGAGGTGAGCAAGGAGGAAAAGAACCTGCAGAGGAACCTGGGGAAGGAAGCAGGGCGTGGCCAGAGGAGACCTGGAGCAGACAAGCTGCATTCGCATCTGCTCCTGGACTGGCTGAAACAGATGTGGAGGAGAGGCTCATGGGGAGGTGACTATGCAGCGTTTATCTTGACCTTGACTTTGCTCTTTTCCTCCCACACTTGTCTGGCCATGTCTGACCCTGTTCTATGGGTCCCCACCAGAAAGTGCTTTAGACTTGTGGGCTTTTGGCTTTGCTTTGGGACAACCCTGTTTGGCTAGATAGACATTTACCCACCAAGGGACGGGTAATTAAGGATGCTTGATTTGAAAACTATGCTTTTTGTCTTTTTTATATTGTACATTCATTGATTGTATTAATGTTCTTTTCCATTAAAGGTTTTATATGTTTTGTCTTGATGTAGTAGATGTCAGTACCAAATTAGAGCAGGCAGGTTTGGGGGTTCTGGGAGACCCTTTCCCTGTCCTGTAACATAAGGATGAGAAAAAGCTTCAAATTTCATTAGAAAAATTCCCATAGAATAATCAGAGATTCCACACCTATAAAGCTTACAGTCAAACTGCTAAAGACAAATGACTCATCACATGAAGAATACAATATGCCTTCTGACAATGTTATCAACCCCCTTGCCCCACCTGTACCCCTCAGTACCTGCACTGTAACAGTGAGTTGAGTCTTTAATATATATATTTTTTAATACTGAACACACATTAAGCTTTGTTATTGTGGAAAACTGGCAGACAATTGAAAAAGAAAGAGGGAGCTTTTCTTCCTGGTTCCAATATATGATCATTTACTTTTTCCTCTTTCCACCACATGATCTATTTCCAGTACATATGTATGGGGACACTGAACAGTGCTCTGTCACACCACAGACAGGTGGCACGCTCATCCCTAGTTCAAGCCTAGTGACAGAGTTACCATGGCACCACCAAATCAAAACAGGCACATCTCAGGCCGTGCTATATAAGCAGTGTCCTGACTCTTCCTGCACCCAACAGCCTTGACTGATCTACATTCCAGAAGGATATTATTTCCTCTGCCCCTTCCTATGGGCATTGTATGCTCCACTTCTGCACTAGCAGGAGGCTGTAGATTCTATTAGCACACTCACCAACTCGGCTAGCCTGACTGCTGCAGGGCTGTTACCAGAAGTCCTCCAACGTGGTCACTGCCCACACGGTTCACGTACTCCCTCACTAGTAACCCAGCTCCCAACATCCAGGCTCCGGCTCTGTGTCCACCACGAGCCTCAACTCATCCATAGATCAAAGGGTGCTTTTCTCTATGCCCAGTAGCTCTGGCCAGGTGTTCTGCACCTGCACTTTTACCTTAGGAAATGGGAAGATTCCCCTTTTGAACTATGTCCTTCCTTGGGTGCTTTCCCTTACTCTGGATATGTCTTAGATTTCTCTTTACAGTCACTTCCCTATAATAGCTTAACAAATCTTTGAACTGTTCCCAGTTCAAATTTTTGTGTAGTTAATCTCTTCTGAGAGGAAAGAGACTGAAACTAATAGCTGGCTCCTCATAAATAATCAAAAGCAGAAAGCTTTTTTATTTTTTAATTTAAGTGCTTTAAGAATGGCACTTAAACTATGGAAAGAAAACAGTCAAGAATGAAATATTCAAAGTTCCATTAAACAATTCTATTTTGGGGCTCCCTAGTGGCACAAGGGGTCAAAATGCAGTACTATAAACTATCAGTAGCCACTGCAGCACAAGTTCGATCCCCAGCCAAGGAGCTGACCCACATGGCACAACAGACCTCTCCTGTCTCACCCACTGCTCCCCTCAGCAGTATATTTCAGTAGATCTGCATGTTCTGCTCCCCACTCTGTCTCTGTTGAATCCTTTCACCTCCTGTGCCTCTGGGCCTAAAACCCTGTTCCTGTATGTATAAATAAATAAAAATAAATATTAAAAAAAAAACCAAAACAGTTCACTAACTCCTTCTGAAGACCTTCCATCTTTGGATTGTATTTCTAAATCAAAGTTTGGTTTCATAAGAGTTTGAAAATTAACCATACCTGTCCCTAACTTCTGAATTACATGGGATGGAATAGGGCACTGGCGACTCTCACGGCTATAGTGTTTCTCAGATGAGTATCGACGGATTATTAATCTGATTGTATGTGGCTTCCTTCCATCTTGGCACACTCTGAAAACAGAGAATGAGAAATGAAGGTATTAGCAAAAGTATTACCTAAAATTTCTTTTAATAGTTTAAAGCTATTAAAGATGCCAGATTTAATAACAATTATAAATACAGTTGATAACAAGACAGTGACCAGTAAAGACAATGGAATAGCCCAAATTACTTTCACAAAGTCTATATAATGAAACTCTTGGAATTTTAAATTGCAAAGCTCTTAGGCCTTATGCAGAATTGAGTGTTATCAGAAAAAGAACGAAAATAAGATACAATTATAACAAGCTATTTTATAAACCAAGTCCAAAATATAACGAAAGGCATATAAAAACATTAGCAGTAAACTTCAGAAGCTGAATTACTCGCTGATGGAAGCAAATATATGAAAGGTGACAGAAGGTATTTTTATAAGATTACAAAAAGTAAAAACATCTTAATGAAATAACTTTGGTAAAACAACACTCCCCAAATAAATCTGAGGGACTAGGTGCTATTACCATTAGATAGAGTATTAGAGCAATAAATTGAAAGGTCAACTTTTACTACCGTAAAAGCTATATATATACACATTACACTATATGTTTTATTTAGAAAAATAAGCCCACGTACATTTAACATACATAGCAGTCCATCCAAATGCTCTTGGTTTTGGTATTAGAAACAAAAGCTTTGACAATATAGAATATTCACATGAAAAGGAGAAATCTATATGCTAGAGAAAATAAATGTTATTAAACAGTAACATTTTCATTTTTACATGTATGCCAATGCATCAAAAAATATCTCAATGGTAAAATATGGTTTTTAAGTGTTTTTAAACATACTCAAAAATTCTGAATTAGAAACTTATGGCTAGTGAATAATTTTTTTTCTCTTACTGCTTTATCAAAAAATTTCCCTTTTGCTATTTCTCTAAGATAATGAAATTTCTTAAATGGTTCCTATAAACATATTTAAACAGCTTTCAGTTTGGTTTATTAAGTCATTATGCAATTCAAAGGGTGTAATTTGGTACTTATATCTAATTAGGACATTTGGAAAACAGCTATAGTCTATGAATCTTAAACTAGTGCTAGAGGATGGCTTAAAAAGTGTATTTTGCACCTCTTACATACCAGGTTACTAGTGATGTACTCTATGAGGCAAACACATACATTCAGTATTTTTTTGCCAGTAACTTAGGTTTTATACTTCAGTCACTGAAATAAGAGGCTCTGTATAAAAGAGGGAATGTCAAGCAGAAATAAGGGTTAATGTTACTTCAAAGTGTAGAGCACCGAGTCTCACTTCTGGGCCTTCCAGTAAAAGAACGTATCACACTTATACTTCCTGTGGTTTGTCTACATGCAGAACTGTTACCAATGGTGAGCATTTCACAGCAGCCTTAGAAGCTGAAGGGCACCAAGTGACCCCGTTCCCCCAGCACTTACAGGGCCAGCCCGAGCAACGTCAGTGGAGCTGGATCACAGTCGCCCAGTTGCACGCAGCAGGCATGGGCTGTGTGGCTCTGCTCAGGGCATGAGGGTCAGAGGACTTACATTCCTCCCAAACTGTTTTCTCTGTCACAACTAGCCATCCTAGCATCATCATAGAAGCACACTTGGCTAAATTATTAAACACCTCATATACCATTTTGAAAAATCAAGCAAATGAAAAGATACTATTCTACAACAGAGTACTAGAATATATAGATGATGGCAAAAGAGTATCAGAAAATTAAATATACTCTCCCATTGATGCCACACTATTCATGTGTGACCTTGCACACTCCACTGTCACTCTCCCTGTGCACACGCAGCCTTCCTTCATCTGACTATCTTTCACCGAGTCTGAGGAAAAGGAAATATAAGCATTCCTCTGCTTTCTCCATTGTTGTAGTCCTTACTAATTTCCTATCTTTAACCATCAAACATGTATAGAAATTTGTCCCTATAGCAAGTTTTAGAACTGTGACTCTTTACCTTTTAATTTTTAAAATTTTTTTAAAAAGATGTATTTATGTACATAGAACTGGGGTACAAGCCAGAGGTGCCGGGGCGGTGAGAGGCTTCATCAGAGACGGAGTGGGGTGCAGAACAGATCGACTGACGAAGTACACTGCTGAGGGGAGCAGTAGGCAGGTCAGGGGAGGTCTGCCGTGCCATCTGGGTCACCTCCAGGGCCAGGAATCGAACTCATGCTGAAGTGGCCTTAGCTTCTTAGTGCTGCGCTTCAACCCCTGCACCACCAGGAAGGGCCCTCTTTACCTATTTTTTTTTTTTAAAGATTTATTTATTTGTGCATACAGAACGTGGGTACAGGCCAGAGGCTCAGGGGCAGCGAGAGGCTTCACCAGAGACAGAGTGGGGAACAGAACAGGCAGATCGACGAAGTACACTGCTGAGGGGAGCAGTGGGTGGGTCAGGAGAGGTCTGCCACGCCATGTGGTCACCTCCGGGGCAGGTGGGAATCAAACTCATGTGGAAGTGGCTTTAGCTTCTCAGTACTGTGCTTTAACCCGCTGCGCCACCAGGGAGGGCCTCTTTACCTTTTTAACCTGAATAAAAAGCAAGCGACTAGTAGATTAAAGACAACATCTTAAATTGCCACTGGGGAAACAGGGATATGAGAGATATTCATAAAAAGCCTTCTGGTGGCTATCTGTAGCTTAAGATCCATGTATGCACATATTATTAAATTTAAGACCAAAGAAGAGATGGGTGAAATTAGAGTCCTATAACTCTGACAGCTGCAAATCCTAATGTATTAATAAATCACCCTTAATAAAAGGCACAGAGTGGCTGGCTGGATCAGAAAATAAAACCCAACTTTCTCCTGTTCAGAAGACCTATCTGAGCTCCAAAGATAAACAAAGGTCCAAATAAATGGCTGGAAAACACTTCAGCAAGCCAATGGGTCTCTAAAAACAGGCATGGACAGTCGTACTTACATCAGATTAAATAGACTTCCAGCTGTAAAGGTAACAAGAGACAGGGATGGACAATATATAATGGTTAAAGTATCATTAGAGCAGGAAGACAACACTTATCAATAGAACCACAAAGGAGGATCAAAAGACATACGGCAACAATTAACAGATCTAGAAATACTACTAGTAGGGAATTACTATCTCACACTATACACAAACATTAAATGAAAAATTGGTTAAAGACTTGAATGTAAGGCCTGAAACCATAGAATACATAGAAGGAAACAGGGAAAAGACTCCATGACAAGGGCTTCACAGCACCATCTCTGGGAATCTGACTCCAAAGAAGACACTGTTTAATAGCAGAAATATTAACGTATCCTACATGTAACAAAGGGCTAATATGCAAGATATAAGAAGACAAAGAGCACAATTAAGAAATGGACAAAATGTAAATAACAATCCAAATGCCCCAAAACAGACAAATGAATCAGTGGGATACTACTTGGTGGTCCAAGAAAACCAAACTCATGCCATTTGCAGCAACATCAACAAAGAGTTGGAAGTCATTATGCTAAGCAAAATAAGTCTGAAGGAAGAAGATAAATATTGGATGGTTTTACTTACATATGGAATACAAAGACATCAAACAAAAGGTCAATAAAAAGACAACTGCACTCCTCAGTATCTATGTGGAAAATACAGAAGTACTACTTTTAAGGGATTAATGCATTATGTTCCATACAGCATTATCTAAAATAGCCACATTAGGGAAACAACATAAGGGCCTAAGGACAGATGCGTAGATTAAGAACATATGGTATATATATACAATGGAGCACCACTTAGCTACTGAAAAAAGTACCATGAATTCTGACCATTTGCAATAATATGGATGGAACTGGAGGGGATTGTGCTTAGCAGAACAAGTGAAAAGGAGAAAGGCAAGTATTGGATGATTTCACTCATATATGGGATATAAACAAAGCAAAGGACCAGATGAAACTTAACCAAACACAATCTTGAAATCTGACTGCAGAATTGAGACCACCAAAGGCAAAGAGTGGAGTGTGAGGTGAAGGTGGGGAAGGGGGCGCCACAGATGATGCAGAGGCGCTGAGAGGTGACTGCGGTGCGGTAACATGTAGCTTCTGAGCTGTGTTCGTAAGTGCCCTAAATCACATACAGTGTTGTAAACTAGTGTTACCTCAGTAAGAGATGATAGAACTATAATTTGTCACTATCTTTACAATAGTTTCTAATGCAGAAACTCAGTGATAAATGGTCTTAACACTGTTTAGTTTCCAGCTAATCGGTAAATTCCAAGGCAAAGTCAAGTATTCTTATTTAATGAATATACAGAATTACATGGCAAAATAGAAAAATCACCTGTTCAAAAGACTAGCAAGTAGTTCTTCAATCTTATTTTTAGCTTCGACTTCTGATGAACATTTTTTAAATGAATCCTCTTCACTAAAGGACTACCAAAGAAACACAAATAAGAATTATTGCAAACTCAAATGAGAGTATCTAATTTTCAGTGTGTACATCAAATAAATTTAACACATTCTTTACTAACTTACCTGATATGCTTAGATTGAGCCACTTAGTTCACTTTTACATTAACTCTTTTAATCTTCAACTTATTGTATTCCACTAGAAAGTGCACTGGATGTCAAGAAAATTATAAAGCCCTAGTACCAACTCCAAGCTTTACTGCATGATTAAAGTGAGACACAATCTCCTAGGACTTACATCTGAGTATGATTTCTGGGTAAGTTAAATAACCTTTGTAAAGTACAGAATCCTTATCTTCAAAAAAGAGAACATAGGGAGAAGGGAAGAGAGTAAGGTACTTCCTACCTCAAAGGTTTGTAGTGAGACCTGAATGAGATAATGTATATGAAGTGTCCTTCACATAGGGAAAAAAAAAAACAGTGCTAACTAGGAGACTGTTATACTTTTCTCAGTTTCCGAAGTTATTAGAATATGTAAGGAGAAAGTACTGAAACTAAAATCTTTTGTCTAAAATAATTTTGACCGTTAGAACTCATTTAAGGTAAATATGAGCACACACCTGAGGTGGTCTTGAGGGCATCACAGGAGAATGATCCTCTCCGAAACTGAGCTTCTGGATTCGCTGGGCAACTGAAATTCCTAATTCCTTTTCTAACACTTTAGATGGAAAAGTTTGAAGATCATGTACAGTGTTTATCCCCAGGGCTTCAAGACGTTTGGTAGTTTTAAAGCCAATACCTAGACAAAAAGAAAGGCACAGAGTATTTAAAAGACTTTTCTTCTGATAATAAAGCTAATGGAAATATAACAACCACATACTTAAATTTCACAATTAATAGTCTGCTCAGTTGCAACTCTTCTGCAAATTAGGTTGTTGTCATACTGTTCAAGGCTTCTGTGTTGTATGAAACACTTTGAAAACATCACAACGCAGTGTGTTAAAGCACAGCACTGAGAAACTAAAGCCACTTCAACCACCCCAGAGCTGACCCACATGACGCAGCAGACCTCTCCTGACACACCCACTGCTCCTCTCAACAGTGTACTTTGTCAGTCAGCCTGTTCTGCTCCCCATTCTGTCTCTGGTGAATCCTCTCACAATCTCTGCACCTCTGGCCTATATCCCATTTCTATATGCATAAATAAATAAATCTTTTTTTTTTTATCACTAGAGATTAAATTAGCATGTGTTAATTAGGTAACCTGATTCCTATACACAACATTAAACATTTATCTGTAAGTCATAAGTACCATTGTTTACCATGCCTAATACAAACAAAAGCTAGAAAGTAACAAACAGAAACTTATTAGCAAAACTCCTGTCACAAAGTTCTTGCATTACAATTCAGTCATACTTTATCACAGAAGAAATACTCAGGTAATTTAATGTCCTTTGATTCTCTAATTTTTTAAAAAAATTAATTCTGGTTTCCTTGTACAATAAAAGAAGTAAAACAAAGGCAATGCAGGTATAGGGGCAATTATTAAATTACCAATGGAGTGACAGGTATTTTCATATTTAATTTAAAAATGAGGTATCAACTTGACAACAAAAAAGAAAATAGGAAGCTTGTAAAATAAAAAAAATTAATGACTCAAAAAGTAAGGCCAAGTAACATGTCTTAGAATACAGTCCTGGCCCTCCCTGATGGAGTATTTGAAGCCATCTATAACCATTGCAGCACGAATTCGATTCCCCATTGCGGGGCAGGGGGTTGTCCCACATGGCAAGGAAGACCTCTCCTAGCCCACCCGCTGTTCCCCTCAGAAGTGTATTTCTGTACATCTGCCTGTTCTGCTCCCCACTCTCCACTCTGTCTCTGGTGAATCCTCTCACCTCCTGAACCCCTGGTCTGTACCCCAGTTCTTGTATGCATAAGTAAAAATAAATCTTAAAAAAAAAAATACAGTCCTTAATTTATTACCACTTCACAGTCATTATTCTTCAGAATAGTCACATTTTAGAATCACACAAACATGGGTTAAAAGTTTATGACATCTTATTGGATCAAAAAGATGTGGTACATATACACAATGGAATATCACCCAGCAATCAAAAAGAAGAAACACATATCCTTTGCAGCAACATGGATGGAGGTGGAAAAGGTCATGCTTAGTGAAATAAGCCAGAAAGAAAGGGAAAAATACCACCGAATGGCTTCACTCATAGCAGGAGTATAACAGACCAGATGAGAAAATGTAACAATAATAATGAGCAGTTATATACCAGGGACAATTTATGGGGGTGGAGTGGGGAATGGGATCAAAAACAGTGGGGGAGGGAAATGCACTGGACTTTGGTAATGGTACAAAGGTGATTTGGTGATGGGAAGCCCATCACAATTGAGATGGAAACATGCACAAAATGATGTAAAAAAAAAGAAAAATTAAAATATTATAAACTTAAAAAAAAAGTTTATGACATCTGAAGGTTAAATTTTAGTTGTCTTAACGTCACTTCCACAGAATTCTATTAAATCATGTTATTCCCTAGCATGGCTGTAGGAATGAAGGTTAAAAGATCCATTATTGATGGTCTATAAAAACTCATTTGATCTTTAAAGATAAATGACCCAAATAGGTCACTGAAGCCCTCAAGGAAATCGGTTTCCTTATCTTTAAAATAAAAGCTTGGCCTAGCAGCTTTGGAATGCTGCTTATAATTGCGATATTTCAAATACAATCCCAAAAGGCCAATTCTCTTTACTGTAGTGTGCAGTGTAAGTATGAACAACGATGGGAAATAAAGGACCACCTTTCCAGCTTGTAACTTTCATGATCATATTCAAACTATGCAAAACTAGATGAAACTAAAAAAGCTTTCGTATATAGGCTCACAGAATTAATGACATGTGTCTATAGTTTTAAAAGTTAAATTAATATAATAAAATCAATGCATACTTTTCTAATATACTTGTCTTACCCGGCATTTCCTTGATGTGATTCAAACTATGAATAAGGTCTTGAGAACTTTCAGGTAATAAGACCGTTTGCTGATTTGGTTTAAAGATGCCAGAGACTAGTTTTGCCAGTAGTTTATTAGAAGCCACTCCAGCGCAGCCAGTGAGCCCCAGTTGATTATGCATGGCTTCCCTCATCTCTGCTGCAATCTGAGCTCCAACCAGTAGTCTGATGTGCAAGATGTCATGCAGATTTACAGCTGTAAAATCAGGCAGGTGTTAAGAGTCACCACACAAAAAATTTAATTTTCTTTTTTACAAATGCATTTTTAAAGAGTACAGTTTTTTGTTGTTGTTGTTTTGGTTTTTTTTAAAGATTTATTTATTTGTGCATACAGAACTGGGGTACAGGCCACAGGTGCAGGGGCGGTGAGAGGATTCACCAGAGACAGAGTGGGGAGCAGAACAGGCAGATCGTCAAGGTACACTGCTGACGGGAGCAGCGGGCAGGTCAGGAGAGGTCTGCCACGCATGTGGGTCACCTCCAGGCAGGTGGGGATTGAACTCATGCGAAGTGGCTTCAGCTTCTTAGTGCTGTGCTGTAACCCGCTGTGCCACCAGGGAGGGCCCCTCAAAGAGTACAATTTTAACCGACCATCACCAATATCACCATCCTGCCACCTACTTCTCTAATCTCCTTTCATTCACAATTCCATAAACTGCCACAGTGAATTCCAAGGACCTGATAACGAATGTATACAGGGAGTGCTTAATGATTAACAGATTATGAAAACTAATCTCTCCTAAAAAATTTCTACAGACACTAGTAAAACTTTTACTCCTGCTCACCTGTTTGTGAGAATAAAAGTATTATATTAATAAGGAGCTGACATCACAGCTTTAAAGATCTGAGTCTAAACTTTATAGCCTAAACATATATGCCACTGGAAATAATTACAAATTTGTGCATAATTGAAAAGATTTTTTATGAAAAATATAGGGAAACTATACAGAAACATTTTTGTTGCTGTGAAAAGGTATCGGGGTCACAGGAAAACGGCCTTTATCCACCAGGATGCTGGGGATGCAGATCATGCTCACTTCCGAGTGGCCTGATCAGCCAACCAACCTGCAAAGGGCAAAGCCGAGCACATGCAGAGAACTACCGAGATCACAGTGAGTGTTCGCTGTACTATTCAGACAGCTTTTCAGTAGATTGGGGCAGGGGTGGGGGGGAGTGGATTTGATAAAATCTTGTGGGGAAGGAGAAGAATTCATGAAGAATTGGATATTTTCTTTTTAGACAATAAAACCTAGCTCTCGGCAATATTTTCCAACCAGTTAAATTTGAGTTTGCTTGAAAAATTATAGAAAACATGTATGGAAGCTTTTGCTTTTAGCCTCTGCAAGGGACAAAAGACACAGGAGAAACTTCATGTCTTTTTTTGAAGAGAAACATAATTCGACCCTCTTTCTCCTTTAATATCAGGAAGGTGCACAACTACCCTGGAGGATGGTCACCAACTCTCGTAGGGGGAAATGGGGAAGCTGAGGCCAAGGACAGCAAGTGTCAGAGAAACCCTACAGACAATCAGACTAGCTGGTCTTCTCTGCGATGTGCCATGCAAGTCACCAGCAGAGTCAGAAGTTAGAAGAGTCTAATTAAAAATTTACAGGAGCTTACTGCAACTTATTTTCAAAAGCAAATAGCCCTGAAAACACAATTGATCATTCATATCTTAGTGAAAAGGAGGAACCATTCTACTTTCTTGTAAAAGAGTTGGCAAAGTTATTAAAACTGATTAAATGGAGCTTGCAGAAGAGGGCACATAGGCCTGGACTTCCACGAGGGTAACACATGGATCTTGGTGCCTGAGGAGAATCAAAGGAAACAAGAAAAAGGGGCAACAGAGGCAAGTGTAACCAATCTCAAAATTTCACTTTGAGATAGTTCTAAGAAAATCAAAACATATTATAAAATGCACATGACCACGCCAATTCCTATAACTAAAGGATAACCTAAAGTAAGACGACCCTTAAAAATGGTGATACATGGACCTCCCTGGTGGCTCAGCGGGTTACAGCACAGCTGTAACTAAGAAGCTAAAGCCACTTCAGCATGAACTCGATCCCTGCCCGAGAGGTGACCCACATGGCGTGGCAGACCTCTCCTGACCAACCCGCTGCTCCCCTGAGCAGTGGACTTCATCAGTCGGCCTGTTCTGCTCCCCACTCTGTCTCTGGTGAAGCCTCTCACTGCCCCTGCACCTCTGGCCTGTACCCTAGTTCTGTATGCACAAATAAATAAATCTTTTTAAAAAATGGTGACACATGGGGAGCCCTCCCTTGTGGTGCAACGGGTTAAAGCTCTCTACTATGAAGCTCTCTTGGAAGCCACTGCAGCACTGAGTTCCATCCCCAGCCAGGGAGCTGACACTCATGGCACAGCAGACCCCTCCTGACCTGCCCACTGCTCCCCTCAGCAGTGTACTTTGTCAATCTGCCTGTTCTGCTCTGCACTCTGTCTCCAGTGAATCCTCTCACCCACCATACCTCTGGCCTGTACTCCAGTTCTGTATGCATAAGTAAATAAATCTTTAAAAAAAAATGGTGACACGTGAACGATGAATGGAAAATTGCCTGGAGCACTGAGCTACTTGTCATCAAAATCTCATCTTCTGCACACTTAGCACAAAAAAGCCACACTTACAGTAATTTCAGGTTACTTAAAAATGACTATACTGCCAACAAAAGCCTCAAAGCTTTCAGAAAGTCAATTCTTTGAACATTAAGAAATAAATGTACTTTCAGTTGCTAAGTTAGATAAGAATTTACTTACACTGATTATTGTACACATGACCCAACACAGTAATGGCTGAAAGTTCACTGCTTGGAAACTGCTGTAGTCTCTTCTCAACCATTTCTGTTAGATCCACAAAATTTTCATCAAATCCGAGTCTCTCAACAACTGGACTGAATTCTTCCAACAACTCTAAGTTGAAATAATATTGGAGCACAAATGTAACTGAAGTTATAATGAGAGCAGATTTCATGGTTTTTTTGCTTAAAGATAAAACAAATGGTGTCGGGGTTTTGCATAAGATCCCAGATCCACAGTATCTGTAATAAAGTCCTCAGTTAAATAATTTTTCTGAAATAATTTTTCTGTGTCATACTTTGTATAAAGACAGTATTTTCCAACAGAGAAAGTTCAAAATGACATTCTCTGAGCAGTTAAAAACAAGCACTGATACAAAGATTCCGACTGTACTTTCCACAGGAGTTTTAAAAAGGGAAAACAAACTTTGAAAGTTCCAATTAGTACTCAATCAAAAAGGTCACTTAATTTTCAAAATATATCACAAGGCAAAGTTTTGATTATTCATTCCCCCCCTCCCCACCAGCTTATTTATCAAGGGCAGTGATGGGCTGTGACTCGGAAGATTTGACTATCTAGCATCTAGCAAAATACCTAGTCCTTAAATCAAGTGTTTACTAATGGAACTGAACTAAGATTGGGAAAAATTTTAGAAGGATTATCAATTCTCATTTGTAGGACTAATAATAGCTTTGAAATCACTGAAAATTTCTCTAAGTCATCTACTAATACCAGCTAGATGGCAGAAAACAATTATTAACTTTTTATTAGATAATAATATAACCACCAAAAATCACTTGCAACCTAGCAAAACAAATAACCTTTTCTAAGGAGAGACTAGATCATGTAAAAAAAAAAATCATATAAAAAATTGTTTTGCATTTCCCTCATCAGTTTCTACAACTTTCCCTCAAAGTATGTAAGAGTAACAAGCTGAAAATAAAAGCTTAAAAAAGCAATACTGTATGAGGGGAGGGAAGGACAAGGTTTTAAATATCAAGCAGAAAGACAAGTTCAATGCAGAATCATGGACAAAGGTGGAGGATCACTGAATATTGATTGGTGATACTGGCTCTATGACTAGGTCACAAGGCCAAGTATTTAACCCATTCCTAAAGCTTTCTATAATCATGGCAGTTAAGTTTAAAATTAAAAATATCAGTTTCCGTTATGATAGTAACTTCCCATTTTCTCTCTTAAATTTTATTTCACATTTTTTCTCATATTCATATAAACACTTATCATGACAATTCAGATTCCTTCCAACTACGTATTTGGTGACATCACTCATAACATATAATCATCCTTTTACATATAGTTTTTAAAAATCAGGTAAACCTTAAAATGTTATTGGAAAAAAGGAACTAACTTAAAATATTTCACTTTTATGAAAAGACTTACGGAATAATAGACATCCTATATAAAAAGTAATGTTAAAGGTATATTTCCCATAATCTGTACCTGTAACCTTATATGACATCTCTCTATAACGAGTCAAGTCTTCTCCGTTCACTAATACCAGTTGTGGACACTTTTCTTTTGCGTCTCTGACACTCATAAGTTTCTTAACTCCAAGTTTCCTAGCTTCATAGTTGCAGGTAACGACTAAATATTTCTGCTGAACTCCTATCAAAATAAAATAAAATAAATGCATTGAGAAAATTGAGGCAGACTGAATATCTTTAAATATAACATACTAATGTATTTTGTAATAATAAAAGTATAATTTAAGTTGTAATACAATCTTCTTTGTGAAGCATAAAAAGCTCTATCTCATTTTAAAAGAACAGTCTCCATTTATTAAAATCCTCTTAAGTACAAAGAAATGTTTTCAAGCTATTTCCTAAGAATTATGAGACCCAATATATTTTTCCCAGCACCATTTTTAATCTTTGTTTTGTCTACTTGAAGAGAAAAACTTACTATTAAAACTAAAAATATTCAGTCAAGCAGTACTAGAACACTTAATATTGACAGTGAGAGCACTGACAAAAAAAAAAAAACTAAAAATATGCTGAGTAGTAAAAATTATATGGTAGAAATAGATCAATCATTTCATATACAAAAAAATTTATGTATCATATTTCTAGAGTTTTAAAAAAGTTACCATAGATCAATATAATGTATGAAGTTCTTCAGTGATGATATACAAACAAAATGCTTCAGGATTTCTTTCAGACATTACAAAACCAAGTTAATTTAAGTTGCCATATATACATTTAGGTCATGATTTACCAAAAAAAAAAAAATAAAGCAGGTGAAGAAAATCAAGTACAATTAACAACTGTTGCTGTAAGAAAAATTCACCTTCCAAGCAACTGTTAACCAACACTGTTATAATTTCCAAACTACAGTAATTTTTAAATATCTCTCTAATAAACATTCTAATTATTGACCTGTTCTTCATTGTACTCTGTAGAAAAGATCTGACAGTAGGGTGGCATCGAGTTCTGTCCCTAGCAAACACAATTATATTATGATACTCTATAGACTATAAAAATTCTAGTATACTAGATGGCTTAACATTGTTAAAATGATTTTTTCTCCTTCTACAAGTAGATTACTTTATTTCCACTATAAAAGTAACATTCATCTAAATCACAATTACGTAGGAGAAAAAAAGGTTATGGACACTCCCTAATGTAAAATACATTTCTAAAATTTTGATATTATAAAGAAGGCAATAAAACATTTCATATCTTTTGCCTTAATGCATCAAATTATACTCGTAAATGGAATCTCTGGGTAAAACATAATTTAAGATTCATCAGTGAACTTTTTAAAAAAATAAGATCGGTAAATTCCTTAGCCAACAATATAGTTGTTTAGTGCAGAATTAAATTATGTGGACTCAGTACTGTATATGGCCAGCTAGTAGTCATGTATCTGTTAAGTATAAATGAAAGACTACTTTCACTTTCCCCAAGAAACTTCATATTTTCCACTCCCTGACCATCATTCAGTTGTGTCTTAATTACACAGTACTTTTCTATATCTAAAGTATTGTTATAATGCTAATTAAAAGAGAAGAGAAAATTTAGGTCCCCTAAGCTTAACACCCTGACACTTTCTTTAGAAACAATCCTAAACTGACCTTGGCATAGCAAAAATTAGTCATTTTTTTGTTCTTTAGTAATCAACTAGGTGACCTAAACCAGGATTTATTAAACCAAAGTAGACACAGAGGGTAGCAGCAGGTGCACTTCATGTTTATACTAAAAGATAAATCTCTTACTATGTGCATAAAAGAAATTTCTGGAAATTTAGTTATTTGAATTATTGGAAATTATTTTTCCATTTTATGAATAATGTTAAAATAAGTAAACAATGTAAAATTTCCCTTGGCCTTTTATATAAATATACTTGTGTTTTCATGGAAAGCTTGCTCTTTATGCTTGATATTTAGGGTCGCTTAAAGTCCAATTATTTTGTCAGAATTTGCACAAATCAAGAGTTAATTTCAAAAGAGGATACAGCCTCCCTGGTGGAGCAACGGGTGAAGTTAAGCACTATGAAGCTATGAGCAGCCACAAGCTCCTTCCCAGGCCAGGCATTTGTCCCACATGCCACAGCTGACCTTTGTCTCACCTGCTGCTCTCCTCTGCAGTGCATTTCAATAGACCTGTTTTGCTCCCACTCTATCTCTGCTGAACATCTCACCCCCCCCCCACCCTCTGGCCTACACCTCAGTTCTTGTATGCATAAATATCTTTTTTTGTAAAAGGTGGGTAAAGGGAACCCATTAAAATGCCTGAGTTAGTGTTGTAATTGTTACCTCAATAAAAAATTAAAACTGTTTAAAATATTTAAGTAATTTTAACAGTATAGTAAAAAATGTAGTAACAGAAGTTTTTGGAACAAGAGGCTTATAAAATGTAGAACACTGGGGAAAAGGCTTTATCATGTTTTTCTGGTCCTTTATTCAGTTGGTGAACTAGTGTCAAATTCATTTTTTAATAAATGAGGATTTATGTAAACTTTATACACCTGTGGTGCAAAATTTCTGCCCATAAACCACCTAAAGGACTGCTTCAAGGATGTTTCTTAAGTAGTTAATAGAACAGTGAAAATACTAACAACTTCCAAAATTACCTAAAGGTTTGCCCTTTAGTTCTGGATTTGTGATCATTTCTACTTGTGCATAAAAGCAATCCAGATCCACATGTACTATGATCCTGGAGGAAGAAGTTCCTGTTGATATCATTTGACCTTGAACTGCTGCACAACAGGCAAAGAAATGCATACATTCATTCAGTTTGTTTTATCACCTATGATAAAGAAATTGGCAGTTCCTTAAGATATGAGAAAAAGCCATCTACCAGGGTCTTCCATTTACTTAGCACTTGAGTAGTGTGTTTTCTTGTTTTAGAATAATGAATAGGGGGATGGGGAATCAATGGCTACAAGAGGTAATCCTATCTCAAAGAAATGTATAGTAACATGTAGAGTAAATCCAAAGATGCCTCCCCCCCAAAGTTTAAATGCTGATAGCAACCAACTTAAAAATTAGTCTAAGTGGCATGTCCTTAAATTAACCTATTTATCTATATAACTGAAAACGGATATATGGGTCCCATGGGACTACTTCCTACATGACAGCACGATTATTTCATTCAATGCTGTATATCAGTAACTAGGCATCCTCGCTCCATTCAAAGACTGTGCTATTATTTCCTAGCTTTTAAAAAAGTAATTCATGGAGGAGGGAGGTAGGGGTCGTTGCAGCAAAGGTAGGGTTACGGGACAAATTACAGCTTTAACATCAGTAAAAATCAAGGCCGACTAAATGCAAAAAAAAAAAAAAAAAGTGTCCAAACTGGTAAAATCGGGATAAACTTCCTTCAGTTTTAAGCCAATGTTAATTTCTTAGTGTTGACAAAGAGTGCGTGCAGCATTGCAACACAGCGAGGCAAGATGCTAACCTTAGAGGAACCTCTGCAACCTTTGCAAATCTAAAGATTTTCTCTAAGTCTAAAAACGGCGGTGGGGGAGGGTGATGAAAGGGAACCCCGCTCCCAAAACCTGGAGTTGGGAGGTACAAAGAAGTGTCCAGCGGCTGGAGTGAAACGGGAGAGGCCCCAGCAGAAGAGCCTCGTCCAGAGGTCAGAGGGGGGCGATCCCTTCCCCCCCCGGGCGGAGGCCAGACCCCAGACCCCGCCAAGGGGGCGACCCGGCTCTCCACTGCTGCAACCTCAAACCACCGCGCGCCTCTTCAGCCTCCGCCCCGCTGTTGGGGGGATTCACAAATGCGGCCGCCACTAACGACTAGCTGACGCGTCCACCTCCCTCCTACTGGCGAAGCGACCCCAGCTTCGGGCCGAGCCCGGAAACACCGGGCGGCGCCGGGC